AGCACGGTGGCTCTCGGGGAGGTGAAAGCAATCCCCTCTCCCCACGGTCATGGCGGGCAGCGAGGCGGCGGGCAGGCCTGCTCCTGCCTACGTGCTGGGCATAGACCTGGGTACAACATCGGTTAAGGCAGCGCTGTTGGTAGGGGCAGAGCGAGGGCAGTCGGTGGCAGAGAGCTGCTCCAGGGAGACGCGGGCACACACCGGTAGCCTGGAAGCTGGGCCTCAGGTAAGGGGTGGCAGGTAGCCCTGTGGGCAGTTTCAGGGGACCGGCCTTGCCTTGTAGCAGCCGGGTTGTTTTGCTACGTTGTGCAGGCTTCAGTGGCTTTCCTGGATTGTTTTTGTGCCTAGATTGACAGACGGTTGCTGCATGTGTCTGGATGTCTGAAAGTAGAGTTAAAAAGCTGTCTGTTTACTGTTCGAGAAAGTCAAGTACAGCTGCTTGATTTAAGAAAGACCCAGGCTTTGAAAAGTTGTGTGAAACAATCCAAAACTACTTTCCCATGAACTATCACTTTGTCTTTGATGCTGCCAGTCAGGAAACAGCAACCACTTGCTGACGGGAAGGGTATTTTGTACTTTAATTTGAGATGGAATCACAAGTGGAAATTCCCCCTGGAAATCACTGGGAACATTTACTCTTCTTGAAGATCTTTACGTTCATTGTGTTGGTCAATGTAAGAAAGGATTTATCAGAATCATAAAAAATATGTATCAACATTCCTCTGGCCTAGTATTGTAGTGAGTCCAGGGACTAATTTCTGAGCAAAGATACCAAACAGGTCAACCCTCCTCTCTACAGTCATGTTTACGCAGCCAAAAGTATGTATGCACAGATTAGTTCACAACTATATGTAGACTCGATTTGAATACTTTTGCTTATAATCTTCATACTGCTGTCACAAAGTAACCTGAATCTTCAAAAGCAGGAAAGCTGAAATACAGCTTCGCTTGTGGCAGAGTCTGGTCAGTTTGCTGAGTAGATGAGTTTGCTGGGTGGTTCTAGGAATAGAGTATCCAGAAACGAAGTATCGGCATCATCAAAATTGTGAGTAGATAGGGAGGAGCTTTAGGAAGATGTGAGGTAGACTGCATGCAGGTAATCCTCTTTGTGAGGAAAAAGAAGAGCAATATATAGGGTAAACTGAGGAAAGCATGTAGTGAGTGTTAATGGATTTTTTTAAAGAGCTGTGTTTGAGTATGGTAACTCAGGAAGTTAAGAATTGTTTGGCTTTCAGTTTAAGAGGCTGTTATCTCATTCTCAACTTGCTACTACTGGTTTTTAGTTTTTGTGGTTTTGTGGGTTTTTTTTCTTTTTTTTCAATTTAGTAGTGAATGTTATTCTAATAAGTGCTATTAAGCTAAATGAATTCTGTTCTTCACTTCTGGCTAGAGTAGCCTTGTTTAATAAATAAGAGTGAATCCTAATGGTTTCATGCTCAGAATAATGCTTTATGATTACAGGGAATGGAGCAGAATGTCCAGACAATAATGAGAGCATTGAATGAATGCCTTGCTGCTCTACCTCAGCAGCAGCTTCAAAGAGTCAGTCACATTGGCATTTCAGGACAAATGCATGGAATTTTTTTTTGGAGAAGAGAGAAAG